AGAGAGAGAGAGATTCACAACACTCTCGAGATTGATCAGGAAGCAGGTGCTGGACGGCGGGACTCGATGAGCTCCAGCATCTGACCAAATTAACTTCTGATACGAGCGAATCTAGTCTCGACGTCATCGATCATCAGTTCTTTCGTTCTCTTCGAAGCTTTGCGCGTTTCGCGGGATCTTCGCCGAATTGTTTGCCTTTAAATCAGTCCGCCGGTTCATCCACCGCAGTTTGAAGCTGCATCGCGTGAACGGAGGCTGATCATGAATATAAAACACATCAGATCCGTCATATAATGGGGATCGAGGACGCGAGCATGAGGAACGGACGGGCTCTGTCTGATCAGTGGGCCGACAGCGTGGTGGTGCGGCCCCGGACGACCGAGCAGCACATCACGGTGAATAAGAGACTTGTGCTGGGCTTCGCCATCTCCATCCTCACCCTCATCATCGTCACGGCCATCGCAATCACGCTCAGCGTCAGCTTCGAGAGATGCGCCGCGGAGAGCAGCGGGGCTCTGGCCGCGAACGGCTCCAGCAACAGTAAGTGGAAACAGTCCCGGGACGCTAACATCAGTCACAGAGACTCAGAGGACGGCCAGCAGCCCTGGAGACACCTGCGCTTACCGGCCACCCTGCGCCCGCGCCACTACGACCTCCGCCTGTCCGTGTCCATGGAGAACTTCACCTTCTCCGGCGAGGTGCACATTGAGTTCGAGTGCGTCCACTCCACGAAGCTGATTGTGCTGCACACGGACCGGCTGGAGGTGGACAAGGTACTGGTGTATTCGGACAGCAAGAAAGCGGGCGCCATGAGGATCCAGCGCCGCTTCCACTACCAGCCCAAGCAGGTGTTTGTGATCGCGCTGCACAGAGAGATGAAGCCCCTCAGAACATACAAGATCAACATCACTTTCCACGCGCACATCGAACACGAACTCCTGGGCTTCTTCCGCAGCTCCTATGTGCTGAATGGAGAAAGAAGGTAAAAGCGCTTCAGCGTCCGAGTCAAAGTCTATCATGTGTTGTTATAATCTTCTGCTGTTACCTTGGGAACTGTTGATGCTGCCTGACGATCATATGCGAGTATTTGGCTAATTAATTGCTTTCACAGAAATTTACCATGATAACCAAAATACCATAGTTACTGACTATAATAAACAATTTGGGATCTGATTCAAAAAGTGTAGAAGAATCCTACTGTCACCAAGTTACCACAGTTTTCCCATAGGAACGTTATTAACTGTGGTATTATGTAAAAATGATGGTTTTAATGGGAATTTTCTGAGGGGAGAGTGAGCACTTCTTTAAGGATCACAGTGAATACTGATTCTTGTGAGATTCACATGTCAGTGATATTATTGTATGCAAATGATGCTATGTTGATGCTGCATGACATTGATATGTAGATGTTTTTTGCATCTTACAAGCCTTATATTGTAATTATCTTAATTTATTCTCCTAACTAGTATTTTTGATGGCTTACACCAAAATCTAATAATTTCAGTAGCAATGTTTGCTACTTCGAAACCATCATTAATGAATAAGGCATCATCTTAAAAAATAAGGTGTAATACATCTTATAACAGCAACCGCTGCGTTTTAGTTGAAACTCTGGTTGCCATAATTAAATGCATACGTTTTGTGAGATTGTCTTTATTGTCTTTATTTTAATCTTGATTTCAGCTAGAATTAATGCAGCTTTCTGGAATGCAGCTCACTGCTTTTCTTGCTCTCTAACTTTGATAGAAAACTTCCAAGACTGTTTGTAGTTTAGACTTATAATGATATTCAGACTCAGATGTGATTCTGATGTGGTAAACGTGTAGATTATTAATGATTCACTTAACATTCACCAATCCAACTACATGTAAGATGAATTTGACAGCTTTTTATTATTTCCTTGTCGTCTAAATTGGTTCACGCTGTCAATTTGTTGACTAATGCTGTCACAGATGGGTTTAATGTTTACAGCTGTGACAGATATATCATTATTTCTGTGTAGTAATTCTGGTGTGATTTATTATATGTCGACATTTGATGTGATTTAGTTGCTGTGGTTCAAAAAGCTGTAAAAAGTTTTGTCCATCTTCACACCAGGAAGCTCTTTAGTGTGATAAAAATTCACAGCGATGAGTTCAGAGATGGCAGTCAGAGCTAATTTGAATTCAGGAAAGTCATGTGACAGCCAGTTTAATGAAGTTCAGACTCCTGAGATACTTAAATAGCATACATTGTTCCAGACATTTCTTTCACCTTACCTCTCTCTCATGTTCTCATTGCTGGTGTTATTCTGCAGGTTTCTCGCGGTGACGCAGTTCTCACCGACTCACGCTAGAAAGGCCTTCCCGTGTTTCGACGAGCCCATCTATAAAGCCACATTCAGAGTGAGTCTGAAACATGAGAGCTCGTATCAGTCGCTGTCTAACATGCCAGTGGAGGCCTTGACGTCTGACGAGGACGGATGGGTGACCAACCATTTCTCCAGGACGCCCCGCATGTCCACGTACTACCTGGCCTGGGCCGTGTGCAACTTCACCTACAGAGAAGCAGTTACAGACAGTGGAGTTGTGGTGAGTCGCATTTAAAGCCCCTAAACCTCAAAGTTAGAAACAGTAAACTGAGATTTTATTATTCCACAACTGCAGTGACCCTTACTTGATTTAAAAGGTTCGTTTGTCACTTCTTGGGTCTGCTGGGGAAATTTTAGACACCTCTTTGTTGGCTCGTTTATATCTTTTTGGTAGTGAGTTGTGGTGAGTCACATTTAAAGCCCCTAAAACTCAAAGTTAGAAACAATAAACTGAGATTTTATTATTTCACAACTCTTTTCTAAAACCTTGTGGACAGCATTTTGAGGCATCACAGATGCTTTTCCAGAAGGTGTTCTGCCTTTAAGATTCCTCATTTGCCAAATTCTAAGGCAGCCTATCATGTATGCTTCAGAGCAAAGACAATCTCAGAATGCATTGCACAGAGTTCAGTAATAAATCAATCCAAAACAGTAAATAAGCTGAGAGAAATCAATATATACTTACAGAATATACGCTACCCAAAGTTTGGGTTCAGTAAGCAAAACATTACCAAAACATTACAAAATCTTACTGACCCCACACTTTTGGTAGTGTATGAGTACATACTGTATATTTAATTAAATACTGAAAAGTATTGATTAAGTAGTTTAATCTAATTAAAAATGTATAATCCAATATTTGCATAAACTATGTATTTTAATGCTCATAAATGTATTTTAATGTTCACAATTGTGTGATGAGTGTCATGTGTAGAGCGCTGTAGTTTAGGTTCCCTTAGAAGGCATCTGCCAAGACAGCAGGTTTCGGAACAGAGCTTTTATCTTGCTCACAGTGGATATGTTTATATGAAGCTTACTGTAAGTTTATACAGTCAATATAATGGTTACACAGTGGATGTGCTGTAAATGGAAAGGGTTGTCTCCACTAACATTAGTCCAGTGTCTACAACGTCATATAATTGCTTTTAAAAGGATAGTAGTCATGTGCAACAAGCATTCACTTATGCTCGTGTCCAGGATTGTGTTCATGACAAACTCTTCTAGGTTTTATATATCATATGAACATGTTTTATGTGAATTATAGCCATTAAGATAATATTTGCTGTATCACTTTCATCACATGCACTTAAATGTTATTTTTTTGGCACTGAATCATCACAGTCTAAGCGGCATCATCTGTCTGCCAACAGAGAGACATGGTTTATGCGCCGTATTACTGATATCATCCTCAGTCAAAGCCCTGTTGTCATATTAGACACTTCCTGACGGCTTCCTCAGTGGTTCCTGCTGCGTGCCCTTGGCCGGCCTCCTCCTCATATTAGTGTAATTACTCTGATCTCCTTCAGCATGACCGCGCTCTCCTTTATATCACTGCTGACTGTAGTGTGTGCTTCTATCTGGGGCACTTATACCCACACTGCGGCTTGTAGCGGTTAGCCACGCGCTAGCATCCCCCATCAATCACATTAAAGCGGCAGGGCAGCCCTCTCGCACCATTCATCGATTCAAGAATTTGAGTGAACTTCACAAGGAATGGACTGAGGCTGGGGTCAAGGCATCAAGAGCCACCACACACAGACGTGTCAAGGAATTTGGCTACAGTTGTCGTATTCCTCTTGTTAAGCCACTCCTGAACCACAGACAACGTCAGACTTACCTGGGTTAAGGAGAAGAAGAACTGGACTGTTGCCCAGTGGTCCAAAGTCCTCTTTTCAGATGAGAGCAAGTTTTGTATTTCATTTGGAAACCAAGGTCCTAGAGTCTGGAGGAAGGGTGGAGAAGCTCATAGCCCAAGTTGCTTGAAGTCCAGTGTTAAGTTTCCACAGTCTGTGATGATTTGGGGTGCAATGTCATCTGCTGGTGTTGGTCCATT